GCACGGCAAGCTCTTAGACATGCCTAGAGAATGCATAATGGAAACGAGGTTTGCGTCAAGATCAGCCGGAGTAACTTGGGATAAGTAAATAGGTGAGGTAATTTGTTCTCATATAGAAAATCCATGTAATCGAATCATAATAGACATTCAATATCGTTTTGTATAATTTCATCAATTTGAATTCCTAAGTTCGCAATCTCCAACCCTTGACGGGTGGGTTTGTAAAGTCTTTATGATATAGATATGCAATATATACGCATGTAAGACTGTGTCTTAAAATAAGCATTAGATATATTGTGATACTAATTTGATAATAAAGAACCGTTACCAGGCGTACCCAATGTCTTAAATAGATATCGTATCACCTTCAATGCGTAGGTAGCCGTAATGAATTATATACTCATATACCGCACATATCCTCACTTAGAATCTAAATAGTGCGTTATTACTATATTATAAGCATATTCAGGCTTTGTATTACGCAATGAAAGACTCGGCGAAGACAGCTTCAGTATATTTTCTATTGAAAGCAACGGTTCTCATTTGTAGTCCAGTAGATAATAGGAATCCTTTTACTGTTAGTACCTGAGCTTAAACCAGCAGCGGTTATCATACTCATAAATGAATATTTGTTCTCATATGATACCGAACGGTAAAGCGATTACGTACCTCTTTTTGAATCACTGAATAAAACTTTCCACAAAGGCTTTTGTGCGTAAGGATCCTGCAAAATGTTTCATTTTGGGACTGTATGTGACATTGTTTACTCTGTATTATAAATACTTTTTAGTTAACATGATTCATTACAAAAAACATGAAATGATTTATTCACCAAACCAATCACTGTGTTTGTTGAATATCCAGTCAGCGGATTACTTGTGAAATTATTATGGAAACACGTAATTTCTGTTATTGAGACACTTAGGTGGCAATCTCAGTTGGCTAGTTTTCAGTTTCCCAGGAATGCGAAGTTTTGCCGTCGTTATGAAGCTGTTAAGAAACGTTCAAGTTCCTCCCAACTGACGCGTTTTCCCCAACTGCTTTGCAGACCAACTTAGTGAGTCCTCACAACTCCGTTAGAGAAACTCTGTGGTGTACCTATTGAAGAGAAACTATCGAATTGGTTTCGTAAACAACATTAGATGAAAGATTATAATATTAATCTTAATTTTTTTATACATGTTTGTTTTGTCAAATAACAATTATTTTGAAAGTAAACTAGCCACACAACAACATTATAAAGAAATAACAAAAATTCACCTAAACTTGGTTCAATAAATTTTAATAGCGAGCAGTTGTACATGAAAATATTCTTCCATTTTCAATTCGTATTCCACCGAGGAGAACCCTGAAAGTCCGCGGGCTGCCATTACCACTTTTCCAAGTTGAGCAAGACCGAGTTTACACAAGTCTATAAAATTTTATGCCCCCTATATCTGAGCTAGGCTTTGAAAACAAGTAAGTGTTGGACCCGCGAATGTGAAAACTACCGCTAGTGACTTCTCTCCTTTAATTTAATTTACATTTACCAATACTTCCGTATATAGTTTTTACTATTAGTCATAGTAATTTTAAAGACATTTTTTTTTCATCATTATTAACACATTTACAAACACCGTTATAATCATTAATAGACGTAAAATAGGATCAAAATATATTTTTCATTTCTACAAAATTCCTTTATTCATTTCTAATAAATACTTACAGCCAGTTATTATATTATCGAGTAAATACGTTTTCTAAAGAAACATTTCAATTTATTACCTAGCTTAGTTTATTGTATTTAATAACAAAGGATCACAATTTTCTCTTCAGATGTTTCACGTGATCACTGAGCACAAATATCGGTGGAATCGGTTTCGTTTTATAAATCGAGTTAAGAAATACATAATATCTCGGAGTAAGATCTTGGAAGTAATAAAATCCGATTCTTCCGTTATGTTACTTTTACTGAATCTATTGTATTAAATTCACATGGATCTCTTTATATCTCTGACGTCACATATTTAACTTTTCTTTGTTTAAGCAATAAAGTTGAGGGTATATGAATATTTTATTTTATAAAATACATTAATAACTGTCGCAATTCTGCTACATAAAGGGAATTAACATTTGATATACGCGGAAGCACGTCCTTGTTAAAACTTATGCCATAACGACATCAAACAACCAGTTTTGAGCGTCCACAACTCAAAGAAATTAACACAATTCATTACTGGAGCTTATTCTATATAAGTTTGGAACTGCTCTTGTTTTGGGTCGGGCAAGTTTTGCGATGCGTTCGACTCCGGGCAATTACAAAGTTGTGTGTGGTCACCTTCTATTTCACACATGAAGAGTTAAAAGCCGTTGATGAAGAACCGCACTAACCGATCCGTAATAATTAAGTTCTTGACGCATCAAAGACTTTAGGGTTTAGCGGAAAATTCAGAAACGTCCCATACTACTTTAAAATGGAAATTGTGGAGAATTAGAAATGGTTCAGTTAGAGTATCAAAGTCGATCAGATTTATGTGTTCCGAACGACAATTTGCATAATATAGAGAGGAACATTTTATGGTTTAAGAGTTATCTGATGGCGTGTTATATCCATAAATAATTTAACCGGGTCTGAACTTCGGATACTGCATACAAAATAAGATTTCATAAGCCAGGCATTTCAGTAGAACAATACACTGCTTGTCAGTCTAAGTTGGTACAGTGGTTACTAGTTACGTGGTGTATTCCTATAGCCTCAGTAATTTAGTTAAAATACACAAACTGGGTAACTAAATATTGTAACGAAATTCAGCTCAATAAAGGTGCATGATTTTGAAGCGTGGCATATAAAATACTCTTTTAAATATTTTGCAGCGATGAGCGATAGCCGCAATCGACGCTCGTTTGTTACAATTTTTAAATTCGTTGAGCTGTCCTATAATCTGGTTCACTTTCACATGTGATGACTTTATGAAACGTGAAATTGTAAAATTAATGTTTTTAGTATAAGAACTTTGAAGGTAAGTACAAAAAATGTTTTAACTATTTTTAAGGAATACACAGTGTAACAATCACAACAAAAGTATCTCCAAAACACAACCAAACATACACAGTAACATAGTTCTATCCCTCTATATAAACGATGTCTGTACACACCAAGATTTCATGCAATGACTTTTAATGACGTCTCTATATTCGTAACTTTTGAAATTTAACGAAAAATGTTGAATATCTGCCGTGATCATTACTGAGTCACTTACAGACCTCGTTAAATTACGATGAAAGGGTGGATGAAAAGGATTTTGCTGTTCCAACAACTTTTATTTTATTATTTTGCTAGAGTAATTTGTTGGGATAAATCTGAATTAATTGCTAAAAAGTAATTTTCTAAAGCTATTCTAAAGAGCTACGATAATTTAATACGATGAAAAGGGTTTCAGGTACTTTTAATATACTTTTCTATTCATAGATCCTTTCATAACAAAAAAAACAGCTAAAATTGGGATATTTTTCTATAAATATTGTTTAAGAAGAATTCATAAGAACACAAAGATTCATAAAAAAAATTTCATAAGACAATTCCTTTTAGAAATAACTATTCTTTAACTAACGGTGAAATAATCTAAATACATCGTGCGTGATATATAACTATATTTGTTATGTAATACCTACTAGTAGTAATTCTATATTAGTAAATCTATCACACGTAACTCGCTAATTATATATGCAAACAATTTTCATTCAGTAATTGTCATGTAAGGCCACCACAAAGCCTGAGCGTAGTAGATCTTTGATCTAACATCCGACTACAAACAATATTACATTGAGCTATCTCTGGAGCAATTTCCTATTACTAATGCGTAGGTTTACTGCCTAACATCTTAACCAAACTGAATTATATATTACGTAAAGGATACTCTGCTATTGATGTTCTACAATCACATTCCTTAAGGTTACATCCTATCTTTGCAATCAATATTTTAACAATAGTTACGTGAGCAAATGATAAGTTCAAATTGTAACGTGCAGGTGTTGCTCTTTGAACTTATCAATAAATTGCGTAGGTTCGTACAAGTTGCGTAACGAACAAGTAGTGATAAAGGTTCAAGATTTGAACTTATCATTTTGTTCGTGCTAGTGACTAATATTTTTATTGTCAACCAATGGGTTGTGTTTATGTTTATTTACTACTACCGTTGATCTTTTTTGTTTTAGACTTTCACCATAAAATAGGAATCTCTTCAAAATAACAACGAATTAATTGTATGGTCCACATAACAGTTCCATGATGCCGACACAGCAGAATGGCCAGTGGAACTATTTGGTCAGTTAATTCTGACACGTCAGCGGTCTGCAACGATAATAGTAATCGTGACAGTGCCCGACACACTGGACCACGGCCAAGTGTCTGACCATGGCGCATTCAGTTCACCTGGTTCATTCTACCACTAACGCTTACTAGAATATTCGATAGTATACCTACTTAATTAATAATGGCATACTAACGCTGGAAGAAATGTTTGTTTGAACTAGGAGAATTTTAAGATGTTATCCCTTTCTTTATTTTACATGGAAAGTATGAAGTTAAAAAACATTCAAAACGAAAATGAACAAACAATCGAATGGGTCGAGTATGGAGAAGTAGTAGATTTATTAATCCATGACAGTAGTAAGTGAACAAGAAGTTGCACACAGACAGGTATTTGTTGCGGCAATCTTAAAGCGATCGTTGTCAGGTGTTCCTCGGAAAGTGGGACATAAACTATTATTCTAGTTAGCAATATCTAATAATAGTCCCGAATACAGTTAGCGAAACAGCTGTGATAATGTGCATCAATAGTCGGGGACGTGTGGCGGTGCATCCCGCGCGAGCACGCTGCCCTCTGCATCCGGGCTCTTGTTTGCCATGTGTCGAGTAAACACCCACCGACGACCGGCAAACTTGTAATGCGACAGCTGTGCCGCACTGAATCTCATTGTTCCAATTCACTACTTTTATCCCGGAAAATCTACTCTCGAAAATGTTACACCAGGGCGAGTACAAAGTTTTTATCCAAACTCTCTAGAAATCAAATGTTTATCTTGTTCACATTTAAATCTGTTTCCAGTTAATGTAATAACAAAGTTTGCTGCAACAATATTGCTCTTGCAGGAGTGTACGTGACGGTGGTAACAATTATATTAATTCTCGGTAACGTTGGCGCCGTATTTCGGAAATTTGAAACTCTGAAGACGACTGTTAACATCGGTGAGTTAGTTTACGACCGAGATACAACTTCGTGTAACAAATATCTTGGAATACTAACGAGTAGAATAACGTGAAAAATGTTACATTTATCATGTTGAGACTGTGATATTGTTTTGTTTAATTTACCCTTTTCTTTGACGTACAATACTTATTCAGAACTCAAAAGAAGAACATAATTGTTTGGCAGAGTAGAAGCATTAACCCAAAAACGTTGTAGACTGGAATAAAAATGTTGATTCCTATATTTAAATTCAATATTGATTCCGATCGATACTTCATTTGGCTGTGACCTCTGAATTTGTTTCAGTGTTTCTTCTCAAAGCATACCTACCTAGTCAGATAGAAAATCGACCGTCCTTATCTAAGTACTTAGTTGTAAGATATTGCTATTTCATTTTGTAACCTATTTTTAGTTAATAAAAACAAATTGCGTGTTTTTTTAATATCAGGTACCTATAAAATAAAACTGTTATTAAACGAAAATTTTCATGAATTTGAGTATTTATATGAATTGACTATTTAAAAATCCTAAATCCTAAAATATTTATGATATTCATGAAAATTTTCGTTTATTAACGCTTTTACTTTAAAGGTGCGATATTGTAGCTAAATCGTAAATTTAAATTGCATACAAATAATTAAAATATATTTACTTTTATTTCTAGGTGCAATATTTCCTCCAAATACAGTGACGGAAGTGGCGTTTGCATCAGCTCTGGCTCGAGCTTCAATGGAAAGTGAACGTTATCACTTTGTTATGAAGGCTGTTTATTCTCCATTCGGTGATAGTTTTACAGCCTCAAAAGCAGGTGAGAAAATCATTTTTTGATTCACGAGAACTTGTATTTTAAATGTCTTTATAGTTCCCCTCAATATTTTTCTTTCATCCGGAAGTGTGTACGCGTATGAAGATGGATATAAAAATGTATAGAAGGCAAGATATATTGCGCCGACCCCAAATAAATTAGGATAAGGGCAGGTAGATGATAACATGAGCACATACAAAATGAAAAGGGGAGTCGATCTTAAGGAAAATCTTTGCTTATAAAATACCGCACACGCTAATAGAAAATTTGTTTCCAAATACGACTTATTACGTTCATGGATAATTCTAAATCAATTTGTATTTCAGTACACAAACAGCTCTTGAAACTCTGTTTGGTATTATTCCTAATGGAATTACCATTAGTAGCAACAATATGAAATGTGGTGCTTCCACAGCAAATATTGTAACTCCACATTATTATTTCACGCCTTAATGTTAGATTAATTTAGCACAATAAACGCTAAATACACCACAGTCACGGTATTTGATCAGTTTTCCATTTGCCGATACAACAATACGTTTACCACAACCGTTTAAATTATTAATACCACATTTAGGACATGCCTATTGCCTATTTACAGCAATTTGGTTTCACATTAATTTCACATGAAAATTAGGTACTCGGCACAAAGCCAAACCCTATACCAAATACGTCGAATTCAATTTGAGATAAATCGGCTTATTACGTTTTTGTCTACCCAAGAATCTAACCCAAGGTCGTGGAACTTAGATTAATGTTAATGTCATGAAATCAATTTGTTAACTGAATAAAATGGACTACCTGCAATAATAATGCAAAACATGTGGTCATTAATTGAACAATAGTTGACCTTTAAATAGGTAGGTTTATAACATCAATTACTTTCTATCCCTAAAAACTCCCGTCATAAAAGAATTACCTAGTATTCTAGTTTTGAAACCAAGACGTGAAAAAACCACATATACACGTACTTCCAGCATGTGAGCTGCTCGCCAGCGGTGTGATCGCAGTGTTCGGGCCCACTGACCCGGTCTCAGCATCAGCAGTCGAAGCACATTGTCGAGCTGCTCGAGTACCACATATTCAGGTACTGATTAGACATATTTTTTTCTTAATATAGCGGTGGCTAGGATTAGGACTTTTAATGTGTCGTATTTTTTATAAACATACAAATTGACATGGATACACATTAATATCAAGTGTTAAGTACTGGATGTTACGTACTGGTGAAAAATGTAACTGATAACGGGACAGATTCCGGTCGAAAAAGGTTTTATTACTTTTCGATTTTCGAAATTTTCTGTCAAAATAATAGAAATAGCTCGCTTCTTATTACGTGAGACGCACAAACAACTTTACACATCATGTTTATATCTCCATTTACCCCTGAAACCTTCCACTATTGAAACCCTAGACAAGCCTAGTATTACAATATAATTAGACTGTACGTAATATTATATATATTATACCCTTACTTATACATTTTATTAAATATAAAAATCAAATTACTTCCAACGTTCAAATAAATATGAATTCTTAGAAGAATTGATTATTATTAGCCGTCTACTTAAGCACAGAAGGAAAGCCAAAATTGGAAGTAATTCTAAGAAAATTATTTCGTGTTCATCAGTACCCTGTACCGAACTGATATGAGAATGGAAAAATATCGTCCTACATAATTATATTTAAATATCTTTTATATTTTCTAAAGATGACAATCTATTAAGAACCTTGTCAGCTTAGCTTTTCAGCTTTATCTTTTCATCATTCGTTAATTTCAAAATGTGTAACGAACAGGCAGTATGGAGACCTCCACCAGTTCGCGGACTGGAGCAGCCAACGCCACCTGGTATTAACCTGTACCCTGAAGCAGTAGCCCTGTCTAAAGCCGTAGCTCTGTTCATAGCAGACAGCGACTGGAAATCTTACACACTGCTGTATGATGATGATCATGGTAATATTTGATATCATCTTTCATTTTAATTTTTAACAAGAACTTGCAAATATAAAAAATAAGCATAACCGACTTCATTTCATGAACGAAATCTTATAGTCTTATCTTATTTCTTATTATTAGAGGTATATGAAGCGGAGGAGTTTGTTTTTTTGTTTGTTTGTTTGAACATGCTAATAACTACAATTCTGATTTGAATATTTTTTTTGTTGGATAGTGCATTTATCGAGGATGGCTATAGGCTATAAAACATCACGCTACGACCAATAGGAGCTGAGCAGAGCGTGTGAAACCGCGCGGAAGTATAGCTAGTTTTATAATAAAGTTGCCCAAATATTAAAATTATTACATTTTAGTTTGCTGCGCATACTTTGGCTTTATAAGTATTATTGTTACGGATTTCATCAGTTCATCAGTTCATCGCCTAATACATTAGACACTTTTGATTTTAATAATGTGAGATAACCTAAAACGAATAGGAATTTACCTAGAACTATTTTCCAGGACTGCCGCGTTGGCCAAGTGGTCGCAAGTACGACTGCTAGGAAAAGGGTCTCGGGTTCGAGTCCTGTGTCGGGCAAATTATTACTGGGTTTTTTTTAAATCTGAGTAGTAGCAAGGAGTCTGGCATTTTGCCTTGTATATGGGCATTAGGCTCACGCCCATACCCCCACGCAAAGTAGGTCTCATATTGTACAGTGGCATTAAGTACCGTAATGTGCACCTCTGCCTACCCCTTCAGGGTTAAAAGGCATGATATTATTATATGTGTTATTTTCCAGGACTTATAAGGTTACAAGAAATATTAAAACACACTGATCCAGATTTAAAATGGCTCGTTCGAAGATTGGTTCCAGGAGAAGACAACCGGCCATTGTTAAAAGCTTTAAAAAGTACAGGCGAAACTAGAGTGATCTTGGACTGTCCAGCTAACAGAGTACTTGAATACTTACGCCAAGCCAATGAGGTTAAGTTTTTTGAAGACTACATGGTATGTAGAATGTCTAGTTAATTGAATCATACTTATCATTCTTTTAATTATTCCGTAATAAATTTAACACATGCCTATTAAATGTTTATAAGTCCCCTGTTTAATATACTCACTTTGTTAAATTCTATTCGGATTAATAAACTGGCAAATAACAAAATCAACATAACTACTTTGTTTGTACATCATTATCGAAGCGATGAAAAAGGGCAAGCTTACCAACGTAAGCGGAATGGAGACCCAAAATTAAAGCAAATACAGCCCTAAACTGAATTATGTTAACGAGCATTCACTTTCGTATTTATGATACTAAACTTATATAAGCCTGTTCTTTTTTGGGATTGATTGATACATATTTTGTAATTCTAATAATTCGTCCTGGTTTATGGTTTCGTTTTAAAAAGTGTACGCAGAAAATATCAAAATTTTACAATGATAGATAAGGTTGCGATTCATGTAATACAGACCATTTAAGGTTATATATATTCGGGCTATTTTTTCAAAGCTATTTCAAACTTTGGTAATTATGTCTATTTATGTTAAATTTATCTATATTCTTTAATGTTGATGATTTATTTCAGAGTTACGTTTTGATGTCACTAGATGCCCATACTTTAGATCTTGAAGAACTACGTTATGGATTGTCAAATGTCACGTGTTTAAGAATTTTCGACCATTCGGACCCAAGAACAAGATCTTATTTAGCAGACTGGATAGCTAGAGGCACAGACAACGTGAAAATTCCGCGACAATCTCATGAGATTACCGTGAGTCCATACTGGTATATTTAGAAATGTTATTTGTTATTGATATATTTTAAGTTATTTGTCTTATATTTAGGTAGAAGCTGCGCTTGCTAGTGACGCTGCACGACTAATAACAGATGCTGTGGAAAATTCTCCTGAGGAATTCAAAATAGAAGCTCAAGAAATCAGCTGTGATTCTGAAGACCAATGGGAAGTTGGCGAAGAATTTACCAATCATTTGCTGACGGTAACGTAGATTTGAAATATTTCAATTACATTAGTACTTGCTGATTTAACTATCTTTAAATAAACTTCTTTCCAGAACCCAATCGCGGGCATTACGAACATGATTAATTTAGATAACACCACAGGCGAACGATTGAATTTTAACGTGGAAATAATGGAATTATCAAATAGTGGATTTAATAGCATTGCAAAATGGAACCCAGAAACTGGTTTTAATTACGTTCGAACTGCAGACGAAACATCAGACCGCTTAGCTGAAAAGTGGCAAAACAAAACGTTCAAAGTAGTTTCACGCATCGGAGCTCCGTACTTAGTCGAAGTAACCCCCAAGGAGGGCGAGGTACTAACCGGCAACGATCGATATGAAGGATATTCGAAAGACTTAATACATGAAATATTAAAAGAAATACTACATCTGAACTATGAAATTGAAATAGTGCCAGGTAATGGCTACGGTTCATATAACAAAGACACAAAAAAATGGGATGGTCTTGTGGGACATCTTTTAGAAAGGGTTCGTGAGTAGCATGAGAATGTAATCTTAAATAAATAATAGTAAGTAATATCTAAAGTACTGTTTTTCTCTTATTTTGCAGAAAGCTGATTTAGCAATCTGCGATTTGACCATAACTTATGAACGACGGTCTTCCGTTGATTTCACGACACCTTTTATGACTTTGGGTATAAGTATTCTTTATTTAAAGCCAACTCCTCCCGAACCAGAGTTGTTTTCTTTTCTGAAACCATTTTCAGTTGATGTGTGGATTTATATGGCAGCAGCTTATTTGATGGTGTCGTTATTGCTCCATATTTTAGCGAGGTGAATAAATAACAGTTAGATTAGATATGTAATGTCCATGCATATGACATATAATAAACGGTTTCTCTTTTATTGAATTTCAGACTAGCACCGAATGATTGGGAGAATCCACATCCTTGTGACAAATCTCCTGAAGAGTTGGAGAATATTTGGCACATTAAAAATTCTTGCTGGCTCACAATGGGTTCTATTATGACACAGGGATCAGACATTTTACCTAAGTAAGCTTGTCATAATATTATAGTAAGAAATATATTGAGGAAGCAGTTTTAATTCACTTGCTATTTCTTGTTTTACGCAGAGGTTATTCTACTCGATGGGTTTGCGGGATGTGGTGGTTCTTCGCTTTGATCATGTGTTCGTCTTATACCGCTAACTTAGCTGCTTTCCTCACCAATGCTGCTATGGATGACTCCATTAAAAGTGCTGAAGACCTCGGAATGCAGACTAAAATCAAATATGGAACACTAAAGGGTGGTTCTACGTACTCCTTTTTCAAGGTCTTTATTACTCTTCATTTTAATCATGCATTGTTTTTAATTATTACTGACATTTTTTAATTTATCCTATTGATACATAAAATCGATTTCTTTTTAACAGCGTTCCAATGTCTCCTTGTACCAAAGAATGTATGGCGCGATGGAATCAGCTCGACCATCCGTTTTCGTCAAGAATAATGATGAGGGATTAGACCGAGTGCTGAAGGGCAAAAGAGACTATGCATACTTTATGGAGTCTACTGCTATTGAATACCAGTTAGAAAGGCATTGCGACTTAATGCAAGTGGGCGGATTACTTGACTCAAAAGGCTACGGAATTGCCATGCCCTTCGGTAAGATGATTAGAGTTTAACACATTTCATTAATGTAGATATTTAAGTACTTGAACGCTTTTCAATTTGTTTGAATACACACGCGAGTGAGCTCACTTCAATTAAATTATATTGCACTGGATTTACGGCTCACAATATGTTAGGCAAAAAATTGCGAGCGTTTTGACATTTTAAATATTTTATACAGATTCGTCATACCGTACAGCCGTGGATAATGCATTACTAAAATTGGCTGAGAGCGGCAAGCTGGTAGAGATTAAAAATCGTTGGTGGAAAGCGCCCCCTGAAAATGCTTGTGTGGTAAGTTGAGTTTTTATTATATAATGAAGTCGGTTAAAATGCAATATTACAATTTTTAAACTACTTTAGGTACTTTACAACGAACGAGAACACAAGCCATTACCATAATTTTTCAATCTGTAATGAATAAGCGTTTGAGACAATATTTACCCTTGATTCGTACAAAATAAGTCCTATGCATATCATAAATATGTCTCATTTTCATTACAGTCTGAGGAAGCAGCCGAAGAAGGGGCAGCAGGGGAGTTAGGAGTAGAAAACGTGGGTGGTGTGTTCGTCGTATTGGCTTGTGGATGCAGTGCGGCCACAGCAATGGGTATATTTGAATTCCTTTGGAACGTCAGAGAAGTCGCCATCGAGCAGAAGGTATCTACGAATTTCATTTACCACCAAATAGCATTCATATGCTAATTCAAAAAGACCTTAGCGACATTGAATACCGCAAATTCACTGCTTTGCATAGGTAGACAAACCTTGCGCTTATTTCATTACATATTGACTACGTTTTGTAAATATATTATTCAAATCAGAGTACTCTCGAGGGCGTCTATTTTTACAAATGTGAAATACAAGATACAAAGTAGATCGAAAAAGTAAAATACAGTGGTAACGAATTGGGTCGTATTATAGTAAAAGATTGCCTTTATATCTGTAGAATTAATTTCTTTTTTCTATTATCAGATGACTCAGTCAGAAGCTCTTTGGGCTGAGCTGACGTTTGCACTAAGTTTCTGGGAGACTGAGAAGCCAGTGAAGCATTCGCGTCCATCATCAACAGCTTCAGGATCCAATGGAGCTTCGCGAGCGTCTTCCGTGCTCCGTTCCGCAGCAGACTTATTTCATCTTAACGTATTTAATAAGTAATTATAATTAAAACTAATAGTCACGAAGAACGCAAAATTATATTTATAATGTAAATAATATTTTTGAGGTAGCGTATTAACTGAGATTGCACATTGAAGATAAATATATTTTACAAACACAATCGACTTTAATTGTCAAATTATTATACTAGCAAATTGTTACTGGTATTCTAAAATAAAAAATAGATAAAATTTAATGAAACGTAATTATAATCAATAATATATTATATAACATTCTCTATTTACTTAGGTACTAAAAATATTTTCTCTGCGTTTATGTTTCAAGTGGATCAGAATAAATTCTAGGAAACGAAACAAATATTGTATCTCTTGGCAACACATATGTTGCCAACCGTCTGTGGATGGTGATGGGAATATTTCAACACCTTTTATAAAAATTCAATAGATTTCATCGAAGTTGATGAAGGAGGTGGCAGCCCTGAGAACCGAGACTGCTCGTGATTGTGACCGCTCGCGTTGTGGAGAGGGGGTGGCGGTGGAAGGCGGTGCAGACCTTGGAGGAGCCGTGGGTTTGTGCAGCTCGCGAGGGTTCAAAGACGCGTGCCACTCACTTGATAAAGCCTCGAGGAACGTCACCTGTAAAATAAACAATAATTAACTACTGTTACTCAGCACACTATGCAAGGCTACCACTGTCGCTGCAATGCACTACTACGTAATGTGTTGCTAGGTTCATTTCCACAAACTATAATTATTTGTATAATCCATAAATACTAAAACAATGTTGAAACTTCTCTTCAGGCAAATTTACTTTCAGCCTCAACTCGACAGATTACAGCGAAGTAGATCTAAGTAATGTGTTAACGAGACAAGTCTTTTGAGATCTCTACTAACTGGCGGGCTAGGATTTACCAAGACTTTTAGTGCTAACATAACATTTAAATGTCGCTACATAGTAACTCAGTCTATCCATCCCGAAACGAGTTACTGTCGACACATTTTCCAGGCTGTGTCTATGAAATTTCTCACAACACAGAAACCCTTACACAAAAACTATTAAATTAATATTTTCAAAGCAATAACAAAATCAGTTGATTTAATGAAATACCTTTTCTTTGACACTGATTTTTCTAGCGTGGAACATGAAATCTATAATGGCCACCACAAGGCCTAAAAGTCCACCTGAACCAAGCACCAAGAAGATACCGCTGGTGTTTTTCATCTGGAGCGAACCGCTGTCATCTTCTACTTTGACAATTTTCTGAAAACAAGACAGGTAATATTCAGAAAATATCATAATATTACGTAAATATGTACTTATTTTTAGTATTTTGTGAAACGAACACTTAATCCATTGAAATGAAAATCCACCACATCAATATTAACAGCCTATAAGTGACCACTGCTGGCCAAAAGTCTCTTCTCACACGGACAAGGTCTAAGAATTAATCACCACGCTTTCTTAATGCGGGTCGGCAATTTCAAACTTATAATAATTTGAAATTATAATCACGGGTATCCTCCCGATGTTTTCCTTCACCATTTGTCAGTGGTGTCAATAATCTCCTGAGAAATTACCTCCAATAACACGGAAAATGTTGATAGTTGCCGATTTCGATTTTAAACTAGTACCCTCGTGCTTAAGAAGCTGACGTCTTAAAGACACCATGCAGCAAACAATTTTTTAGACGAAGATTCGTAAGCAAATAAAACGGGATAATGAAAAACCCTTGTTCATAATAGAACAAAGAAAATATTATTGGAGACTTTAAAGAGACATTTACCTCGCAATGTTCTTCGTTGTCTTCATCTTCCCACCATTTCTTCTTCAATTTCTCAAGTTCACCCAACTCTTGTAACGATAATATTGCATTATCCACCCAACCTTTATGCGGATAATCTATAAACAAAACATTCTCCATCAATTTCCAATCCCAAACCTCCTTACATTATCTTCGAATTTCCCTTTAATATCTATAACTTACTTTTGGCCATAGCAATACCATATTCCTTGGAATCTAATTTAGAACTGAGCATTTTCAATTTACAATTCCTCTTCATATAATATTCGATCGAAGTTGATTCCATAAAGAACGCATATTTTCCTTTGCTTCTAAGAACTCGATCTTTTCCTTCATCATTACTGTCCATGAAAACTGTTGGCTTTGCAGAGTCCATTACATCCCAAATTTTTGAATAAACCGTGTCATTCGATGTCTGTAAGTAATTCATTAAATCAAACATTTCATCAAAACGGATCTTACAGAGTAATTATCTGATATTCAAAACATACTTGGAAAAATTTATACGTGGAAGCATTGTACACAGCTCCGTAAGAAATTTTGTTTTGTTCAGAAAGTTCCTTCACGTCGTTAATGACATTGCTTCTTCGACTGTTACTGAGGAAAGTCGACATGTTGGCTGTATACGAGGCAGTCACGATAAGTGCAAAGAACCACCACACGCCTGCAACCCACCGCGAGCCCACAGCTCTGGAAAAACAAAACTTTAGCTGCTGAGTGTAACGAAGTTAATGGAAAGCGGATAGGAACAACGTTGTGAAAGAGTTTAACTTTGACCTAATATATAATGTTTTCAACAAACATTCCCCTTTGCATTCGCTTTTTGGTTGATTATTTAACATAACATAATGAAATTTTAAGTAGGTAATGTCAGTTACATTAGTTAAAATTTAAACTCAGTGGGTATTAATATTGTTGTTAATTGTGATTTCAAATTAAATTCACCTTACTGGCAAAATATATGAACCATACAAAGTAATCGACTATTTTCATTCAATCTTTGACCATTTTGACATTACTTGATATGTTAAAACTCTGAAATCGTTCTTACCTTGGCAATATATCGCACCCTTGTGTCATAATGGATCCCATAGTAAGCCACATACAATTGTAAAGACTCCATATATTCTCGAGGTTCTCTGGATTCTGATTACATGGATGGGGATTTACCCAATCGTCTTGACTCATTCTAAAAAGTAGGGGGAAAATGTGAATCAAAATCTAATTTTCAGACATACTTGGAAGCTACATACGTGTTTAAGTTAAATATTGAATTTCACTTCAGTGTGAAAATTATGATATTGCTATCTGTGTACTTTCAAAACTAAAAACTAGTCAAAAATATATTACTAAAAAAGAAAGTCAATTAACCCTTAGAGCGCCACATCAATCACCAGTGCATATTTGCAGTTAAAATGTACATAGGTCTCAAGAGAATATAACTTTTTCTATAGCTTTTACATTAGATTTTAGTCATATGGTTTAAATGGGCAATAATAAGTATTGTTTAATTAACTTCCGTAACGTTGAAAAGCATTTTTCAATATAGAAAATTATATTCACCGGAGACTATAGCTAGATGTTTTAACTATTATTTTTAATAAAACGATGGATGGATGATTTGATAACATCTCCATGATATATTATCATATTAGTGACACTAATTTTAACAAAAAATCATTTTTTTATAGTATATGCAAATTATTTTTGTAAAAATTATTGACGATATATTGAAGATGCGCCAAAATAAAAGTACCCTTAACCGAAGAGCATAAAAAGAAGGATGACTGTTAAGGAAGCGAAAGAGATACATATGTATAAATCGTAGCAATGGCCGTTCCATAGTCTCTGCGCACCCCCTGATAGGAAACAGGTGTGAGGCATATGTATGTAATTTTTGTAACTATGTCTAAAATTATAAAGAAACAAAACCAACCTTGCACAAATCAGTAGCACAAATGAGACAATCACGTACGTAGTACAGAGATACAACCAAACGTCCAAAGACAAAGGCTTAATAAATGAAAACCTGTCCGGGGCTTCAGGATCTTCTTCTCTGAACAACAAGCTTATACCCAAAGTCATAAAAGGAATTGAAAAATCCACGACCGAATTCCTCTCTGAAGTTATCGTCAAATCACAGATACCTAAGTGTGCTTTCTACAACATAAAATAAGATAATTTAATTCTGTACAACAACAATATAAAAGTTTCTGAGATACATTAGCGTAGCGACTAGTTATTTCCTGTAGGATATTAAACTTAGCTTCAACAAAATTATAACTGCATTGCAATGTAACAGTTTCCAAGACTTAATTAAGGATGCAGTTATTCTTCCTTTGTGTATTTATAACTAACGACTACCTCGTGACTTTGTTCACAAGGAATTCTTACTTTTAGGTTAACATTCTGAGGGTAATTTTATGGACAGTTTCCTTGATAAATATTTGATTTCATCCTCAGTTCTTTCGAAGGAGAAAATATACTTGTAAAGTGTGGGAGAGCCATACTTCGGCATACCATGGTCTCACAGAAAATCGACGTGAAACAACGCAAGCGTTTTAATTCGTCTTGTGAATGAGGTTACCGGAAGCCCAATCTCCCAAATTACCAAAAATTCACCAATTCCTAATCCCCAAAAGGCCTGTAACGCACTTGTAACGCTTCTGGTGTTTATGAGAGGCGCCGATTGCTTACCCATCAGGTGATCCGTCTTCCCGTTTATCGTCTTGTGCCATAAAAACAACAAAATGTACTAACATGATCCATAATTTCTCCAATAATTCCATTCCATTTCTTTGTGCCCTCTAATTGACTGCCGTATTCATTCCCCGGAGCTACATAAAACTCATATTCCAATTCAATTTTCATTGTTTTCTTTATGTACTTGAATATCGCGTCAATAAGATCCACACAGTAGCCGCGATAAATGGTTCCATTCACAGTATCTTTTCTGTCAAAATATGGTCTTCCTATCCTGGTCACCACCTTGGAAATAAATTTGTTTAGATTAAATAAATATAATATTCGATTATCAGAAAGACAATCATCGATCAGTTCAAACGTAAGGTAAAGGTATTGACCGTCATACATAACGATATTTGGATAAAACACATTTCGATATTAATTCAAATGGATGTAGTAACATTTCTTACCTTTATTTTTGAATTAGTATTCACAGCTAATGATCTATCATCTATATCCTTCTTGGTGATAACATTCGTCTTAAAGTCCCAATCTCCGGCATACATAAACTGACTCTCTTTATTTAGCTTTGAAAAGTGTAATTTGAAATTGATTCTTTTTCCTTCATCATTGAATTCTATGTGTCCTGAGAAACCTTTGGTAGTTGTCTGTGAAAAGTTAATTAAGTATTGATGAGTACGAAGCCCTTACTTATAGCTTTTTGTTTATTCATAAAAAGATTTAATTAAGAATAATTTTCCTTTATTCCTATTTTAGGAATCTTTGAGAATATCATTAATTAATTATTTTTATTTGTTTCACAATTTTGTTATCGTACCTTACGTAGTGCTTCCCTTAGATCGTATCCTAAAGGCCATGCGCTTTCATCGTATTCCTCTTTAGAAGTCCTTAAACATAGAGCAGGAGGTTCCGCAGGGTCTTCATCTACCTGCATACTTCTGATAGCTTTTTCCAAATGACTTAACGCGTCGGCTGTTAATGCTGTTTCGAGCTAAAACAGACACAACTATTCTGTTGGTATCTTGGTCTCAAGAAACATGCCTAAACGTAATTCAAGTAAAGTATTAAAATTTACTGAATAGTGTTAGTTAAATAATAGGGTAGTGTTTCTGAAGCTTTCAGTTATTTAAAAGGAAGATTTTCTAGTCATCTATAACTTTCTCCTATGAACCTATGAGACGGAATTACCCCTAGTGCAGCGTTTCCCAGCATTCCTTTGTCCTTCCATGTCGCTTCACTCGGCGTGGTCAAGTGCAATGTGGATACGTTCGCCATTAGCGCAGGAATTTGCTTGAAGTCCAAACTGTATGAGTCTAGATTTGTTAATATGAAACTCTGGAAAAGAAACGTTGATAGAAACTATTAAAAAAAATCTAAATTACTTAACTCGTCGAGTACCGGTTTTATAGACACAATTAAAGAACAATGGGTCGCGGTCACCGGTGACCGCTTGGTGTTTGACAGTTTAATAAATCTTATACGAAACATTTACTTTTTTAAGTCCTACCGTACTCGATTGTCACACTTGCGACGACTACACTGAAGTAGTTGAAATACTGACAAAATTAAACTTCATTCAAGTTTGGAAACTTCAAATCCATACAAATATCTTCAAGCATTGGATAGGGTATTTTGAATAACTATTGTGTTTGTGGGAATGGTTATTAATAATGCTTTTTGAGAGAAGAATAACTTTTAAGCCATACATGCTTCTACATGTGCAAAGTATACTAATTAATACACGGACATGAGCGAATTTAATATTTGTATCAGCGTAAATACGTACTTGATATTCCGTGGAGTTTTCAACTTGTATTATTTCGTTCATATATTTGTGGACATTTGTTACATTACAGTCCAGTATGTGATAGGTCATCCGGGACACTTTAAATATATTTTTGAATGTTTCTCGATTGTCACCGTTGGGATCCAATTTTTTGAATAAAATTGATTCCACGCCCACTGCTGTTGGCCACGTGTTTATCACTTCTTGTAGGCGTATGAAACCTTGAACATAAAGGCAACTTTATGCTTAAATTTTTACTTTTTTGTAATAGGAATGATGACAGGATATGAAACTTTAAAATCTAATTAGTCCGTAAGTTAGGTAATTAAAAAATATTAGCCACATATTTTTTATTTTGTTGTGTAATAAAACAGTACTTAGATAAAACGAACCAAAGTTTAAGAATGGGGGCTAAAACGTCATTTCCATGTATAAAATGTACATAGAAGTGACGCCACGTGACATTTCAAATCAATATATCGTCGAAAGTATTCGTTTCTGTAAGATAATATAAAAAACATGTCTGTAAGATAATTTAAAAAGACAGGCATTAAAATAAAAATTAGGCATCTACCCTATTATATGAATTGTTTAAAACGATTCGTTGGTATAGTGATATGTGACTTTGATATGTTATAGTGATATTATAAATGTGAAAGTTTCTTTGTTTGTCCGTCAATCATGCTGAAACTACTATACTGATTTTGATTAAATTTAGTATACAGGCAGGATGTGGGCTAACTTAGGTGATAGGATACTTTTTATCCCGATTAAATGTTCCCATGGGACAAAACAGGAATCATATTCTACGCGGACGAAGTCACAGGCAACAGTGATTACTGAACAAATATACTAACTGCTATCATCCTCATACAGAATCGTGAACTTGTCCCAGCCCAAGTCCTTGATGAGCGTTGCGTAAGCCTTCGATATCAATTCTGGAGGTGGATGATAAGCAAACGTGAAGAAATCCTCAGCTTGTGTCGCGATAGGCTCCCATCCTAGCGACAAATGTGTAACCTGAAATTAATCAGAACATATCGGTTTCATTATAATTGCTTTAAACAAGGTATTCCTTCAATTTTAAGGTAATATTTCCTCGATAGTTGAGTGTAAAATTGCTGCACTTCGGACGTTTGGATCCCTGAATCACGATCAATCTATTTCCAAAATGTTGTTTTAGTACCTATTACGATAAAAAACTTATTTGCTTAAAAAAACTATCATAGTTACATCAACAAAATGCCATATTTTTATTATCAAAATACTTTCTTATTGAAATAGAGAAGAGTTAAGTTAAAGTACAATAAAAAACTTACATTAAATCTATTACACAACAAACAAGTAGTGTCGCAGATGCCGTAAGTCGGGCGAGCGTCTATTAAAGCCACGATCCCTCTGTTGTCTGAAGTAAATGGACACACTGGAAAACAAACAGTTTTATATAAGTGGTCTATTAATCTGGAGGAACAGAACAGCAAAATATTAAACAAATATGACATGATATAATATTGATTTTGTTAAAGGTGTAATAATTCCCATGTTTGTATGTTACCAAACACAATCAACCTTCATTTATATGCTTACAAGGATGCGTATAACGATAACGTATTTTAGGGAGAAAATAGAGATAAATGTGTTTCGAAGTCAGTTAGTTCAGATTATGCACCCGCCGACCATAGGTACTTCTAATTCCGTAAGATCAATATTTAGGGCCCGCCTTAGTATATGATGACGTTGACTTACGTTCTAATGAAGTGGAATAGCTGTCGACTACCTTCGAATCCAAGGACCGGCCGTGGTACGTCATCATTTGGTTCGCTTCAATCATGTTCTCAAATACCTGCCTGGATGTCTCCAGTGTTTCCCGATTAAAAAGACCCCCTGAAAACAAACAAAGCCCGAATGTGTTTCTTGCTGAATTTTTGTTTTTAAAGTATAACAAGTTTCACATACCAATCGGAAAAGCGGCTGTACGAAGTGCATGAGCATTGCGTATGAAAACAATTGTAGTAACAATGAAAAAAGCTTTGGAAGTGATCATGATGAAAGTTTATGTTGATTTATGAATACAATATGGTGTTGTTTAGGCGGGCATGCGGCACGCCGGCCGCCTCACCGCCGTCTGAATTATTTTTGGATAGCAGTTTTAGGTCACGTCGCGTGCGCCATCACGCGTCGCTGTCGCGTGTGCTACCGCCGTCGTGCCATTCCTTGACATCCGTCCAGCCATCGGGAGACTGGAATTGGAGTTCCATCTTTATATATAATTAATATTTTCTGTAACATTCAACTAAATAACTAACTAAAACGTCAAGTGAAACGCTACATGATTATCAAGCCTGTCTTTTATCTCTGAATGGCCAACAATAAAAATCTGGAACTACTTAAAGCATCGAAAAAGCTTTGCCGCCTCCATTTATTCATAATTCTACGAGAAGTTAATTTTATTTGAGTGAACGGCTACCCAGACTTTCATTCGCTAAGCGGTGCGCCCACAAATTGTAGAGAAATAGTTTTTTTATAAACGAACTATGCAGTCACATTAAGTTTTACGCCATGCGCTTGTATTTACTGGTATTGTTGCTTTTTGTTGAAAAATGTAGACCACAATTTCGTTATACGGAAACGGTGGAAGTTTCGTACCAAATAGGTAAGCATTTATTGTATACAACTAACAATTTATTGTGTCTTTAATGCTGTCATTACTAACCGATGTGATGTGTTTTTGATTATCATAGATGTAAAAGTACTCCAGTTCGTGTTTAATATAACATTTAGAATCATTGTCCCCAAAACTGAGAGTTCTATAGAATTTAACAGGAAGCTAAATAAAGACTAACATTTATTCTATATCTTTCAATTAAGCGTTGATAAGTATGATCCATCCCGTATATATAGCATGACTATCCTTTTGTGTATTCATGCACACATACATACATAACTTCATGCCTGTCTCCCATGGGGGTAAGCAGAGACTATGGAACGCCAATTACTACGATTCCTACATATACCTCTTTCACTTCAGGAACAGTCATCAATCTTTTTATGCGTGCTCGTCGGTACCAAATTGTACCGGTCGGTATCAAAAGCTAAAAAATAATAATATTAATCACTTTTGTAGCTGGTATATTTGAGAAGGATGCCACCACCCAACTGTCGGCATTCAACGACAGTTTCAACCATGTGCACCTGCAGGAGGTTCGAATTAAACCCATCATGTTGCAACCGCTGAGGACTGATAGCTACTCAGTTTGGAGAGAACGTAAGTATTTACCACCTGGTCACTTTGCTATCTTTAAATCTATTTTTCTTTATCAATTTTTTATGAATTGAGGACCAAATATGTCTTGGAAATCACGCTCGATGTTTAATTGTGACATGGTGATCTGAGTTTTGTATCTTACTACCTAACTATGACCTACTTGACTATCTGAGACTAAGAGCACATTGTTACCAATAACCGTTCAGCTTAAGTCTTAGGAATTGCGGTTACGTTACTCGGTATGAGTACGGTACAGTAATAGACCTGTATTGAGGACTAATAACCTAATACCAAAATAAATAAGGTAACTTTTACAAATGTTACCAAAATTCTTAACATTTTCAAACAGAAAAGAGTTTCATACACTGAAACGATGTAAATGTTCAAAACGGCATTGTTTTGTTTCAATACTGTGTACATTTAGATATTGTAGCGAACCTCGTAAAGAAATTGCACAAATATTATTCTATTGATTTTATTTACAAAAGCTCGTTGTTTCTGTGACATTTCAGTGTGTTCAACCGAAGGAATACAACCGGTAGCTATATTTGGTCCACAAAATCCAGTATCAGACGGTAGTACTCGAGACCAGTGCGCTATTATGAACATACCTCACATCCAAGCTACATGGCAACCTAACGACCCAGACTTGGAACTAAATGAGCAAGAAACTGAAGAAGAAGAAGAAGGAACAGAAGGTGAACCAAATAATGAAGAAGCAGAAGAAGGAGAAACGAATGCAGAAGGAGAAGAAGAGGAAGAAGAAGCGCAATTCAAAAAGATATCAATAAACTTTTATCCGGATTCTGAAGAAATTGCACTGGCGTATGGAAAACTTTTGAAGTATTATAAATGGGGAGAATTTGCAGCGCTCTACGAAGATACCTTCGGTACGTTATTTAATGCATTTTTAAACTTGAGTTTGGAATTATTTTACAGTGTACCCACGTTTTCTAGGATAGACGCTTACGTCTATCGTCTATCCTAGAAAATGTGGTTGAAAGAAAAACAACACTGACATGGTGCAATATTGCCACATGAGTTTACCGCTATGACTTTTCCTTATACTTATCTTGTTTTACATAGGTTTACTGAGAGTTCAGAAAATCCTGGCTGAAGTGTCAGTGAACTCGCAAATTTTCATGTTTAAGTTGGACCCAGATGGCGATAATCGACAGGTATGCATATATGCACATAACGTATTTATAATACTTTTCTTGTTTACAAAATATTATTTTTAATTTCTGTTTTATATATTACCTATTTTTATTTGTTGCATAAAAATGTCTAACACTGTTTTGTTATCTTGTACTGATTCAGTATCTTTTAAAATTGATGTAAATTACAGATCTTCAAGGCGCTAAATGAATACCACATAAGCAGATTCCTACTCGACTGTCATTCAGACCGCATCCTACAATATCTGGGTGAAGCGGAAAATGCGCAATTAGTCAGTGAGTACCAGGTAATTGATAATTCTTCCGTCGATTCGATAACCGATAACGTTAAATTAACTATAATAAACAATAGGCTCACCCCCTATTACATGGGACTCATAACATAAATAGTGAAAAGTGGGTGTTACTTCTATGTGCACCTCTGCCTACCCCTTCGGGGATAAAAGGCGTGATGTTATGATGATGATAACTATAATAACTGAAGCACTCAAACCTAAATTTAATTTAATTACAGAAAATCGTGCCGCATTTGACGCATTCGCTCAAAACTCAATCATATTAAAGCGAATTGTTTTTATTATATGTTTTTCCACTATCGTTTACTTTCTCATTGATCTTGGTTTTACAATCGATCACTGAATAATTGTGCCAAACCAGTGATTTTATTCAATTCTCACAGACGTTTTATAATAGAAACGTGTTCCATTTAACGTGTTAGTGTATTTATATTGCAGACCAGCAATATTAATACCTCGACCACGCAAATCAATACACTGCGAATCCTTATGTTTTTTTGCAATGGAACTGTGTGAGCCGAGAACAATTTCATTTATTCAAATTGTACTTAACTTGGTATCTAAATACTACATATAGTTTGTATATTTTGCAGCACTTCATTATGGTGTCAATGGACGCATCTACGGTAGCAGAGAAGCTGGTGAAGATGCCATCCAACATTACTTGGCTCAGTATTACTGAGTATGACAAGTTGAGCGATGAAAGACATTATCTGGCAACCAGGGTGGGCAACTGGCAGTCATTAGAAGAATCACCAACGGTGGCTCAGTTTAAGGTATTGATCGGTCTTGTATTTTAAAAAACAAAATTATAGCGAACTTATTTTTACTATACCTATTATATAAACATTTCTACACTTTTCGTGATATTGATATTCCTTAAAAAATGGATTGGCCAATTAAATAAATTCAGGTGAGGATTTTACTTGGTGGAAAAAATGTCAAATGTGTGTGTGTCAAAGTACACTTATCAAACCTTTCACAGCTCGATGCATTGATAACGGATGACGTTGCTAATCACCTGGTGAAGGCGCTTGATTTCGAGGGATTAAAGGATCGCGAACAGCCTCCTACTTTTAGTTGCACTGAACCAGAGCCTTGGGAGCATGGAGCGACATTTCAACAGAAAATATTGAAGGTGACATCACATTATAATTTAAAATCTCATTACCATATTTCCTAGAAGCACCTATGCTATATTCAAACAATTCTAAATACTTGTATGAAGTTTCTAAGGATCTTAATAGATTCCATAAGTCATGTCAGTAATGAGGAGATCAATGAACATAAACCCAAACCAAAAACTCAACCCAAGAGGGAAAACTGTTATTAAAAATTATTATACGTATTATATAGTTACGCCAACCTTTTCCGTTTTCCAAAACTCACTATCGTATTATAAAATTTTACGATAACTATTTCAAACTTCCAGACAAAAACCTATGGTGCTACAGGGAATATAGAATTCGATCAAAATGGTCGAAGAATTAATTATGTTCTGTATGTGAATGAGATACACGTGAGAGACAGACAGACCGTTGGAAGATGGGAGTCTGCTAATGGTTCGGCTATCATTGAGACCACGAGGAATAACAACAGCGTCACTAGCCAACAAAACGGTAAAGAATTCAGAGTAAGTATCAGTATAATAATACAAAAAATCGAATAACTGAAATACATTTTAACAGAATAATTCCCACTCATCTATGCTGAAAGTAAACTACCGAATTAGGTACTTATATTTACCAACTGCATCTTTATTTAATTCTCGTCTCATTTCTACCGTTGCCTACCGCAGGTAATATCCCGCATAGCAAAACCTTATTTCTGGTACAATGAAGAATGTAACGTCAAGGAATGCAAAGATGACGAAAAATTTGAAGGGTTCTCTGTCGACCTGGTCAAAAACATTATCCGCATTCTAAGAGAAGAGAAATATAACTACACGTATAAATTCATTTACGATCCGGATATGGTGTACGGAATATATGATCCAGAGAAAAAGAAATGGACTGGTCTTGTAGGATATCTGCTGGACAAAGTAAGTTGTGAACAAATTATACTAAGTACCTAGTAGCTGTTGAAAGTTATTAAAGTTGTTTTTTCTATGAATATAAAACTGTACCAAGTACCGGCTTGAAATGGCCGAATGTATTTTTTGTAACAACGACGATAAATGAAAGTTTTCACGCGAAAATATACCATCTTTATATTAAAATAAAAACTTGTTTCTGTTTTCAGAAAGCTGACTTAGCCGTTTGTGATTTAACAATAACAGAGGAACGGAAGAAAGTCGTAGACTTCT